ATGCCGGCTGGGATGCGCAGACTACTGCGGCCGGATACTTTAATTTCTGCGTACCGCTCTACGTACTGTTGGAATTCTGCGAGGATTACAGACGCGTAGTGATCAACGCTCGTCGCGAGTTGATTTTAATACGAGCGCGCAACGACAACAATTGTCTGATAGGAGATTCGACGACAGAGCCGACGCTCGAACTATTCAAAGTACAGTGGCGAATGCCGCACGTGTTTTTGAGCGAGATAAATAAGCTGTCGATGCTGCGCGCTTTGGAGAGTGGACGATATCTGAGCATGGCTTTTCGCTCGTGGGATTTGTACGAGTTTCCGCTCTTGCAGAGCACAACCAAGCATTCGTGGACCATCAAGACGGCTATTCAGCTTGAGAAGCCGCGCTACGTCATCTTCGCTCTGCAAACTGGCCGAAAAAATGTCATGATCGAGGACATAAGTCGATTCGACGATTGCAAATTAACCAATGCGAAACTCTACCTGAACTCGGAATGTTATCCGTACGATAACCTGAATCTGGATTCCGATAAGAACAGATGTGCGATTCTGTACGACTTGTACGCGCGTTTCTGCAAGGACTAGTACGGATACGAGTATCTCGAGCCGAGTCTCACTTTTACAACTTTTCTACGCGATGGCCCGTTCGTGATCATCGATTGCTCTCGACAGAATGAATCGGTCAAGAGTGGCACCGTGGACGTGCGATTAGACTTTGAATGTAAGGAGAACGTGCCTGCCAATACTACCGCGTACTGTCTCATTATACACGATCGCGTGGTTCAGTATAATCCGTTGACCAACGTTGTGCGCAAAATCATCTAAGTGCATCCTCCGACGCGATATAAAAATTTACGATACGTCGCAATCGGTCACAATCTTGTTCTCGACAACATGCCCATACCAACGTTTGTGGATCTACAAGGATTCATCGTTAACAAGAAATTTATCGTGAAGGAAGTAGCGGTGCTGAAACAGGGGACCGTTCTCACGCATTACATTTTTACGAATCCCGTACCATGGAAATTTTTGACAAGATCCGACAGGTCTTGCGCTTCCTGGTTGATTGCATATCACCATGGATTGCGATGGGAGGACGGGATGGTCCCGTACAGCGAAGCGAAACACCTGATTACGACTGCGATATTTGAAGATGATGCGGTCGTATATACGTCAAGGGACGCGAGAAACGAACGTGGCTGTGGAACTTGCTTCTGGGCGATGAGCGAGAACGCATGTACATCGAGACCTTGGATGCAGTTTACGAAGACATGGAATCTTTAACTAATCTAGATGTTACTAATAATACTATGCGATGTGGAAAACATGCAAAGAATTGCACTTTACAAAATGTATTGGAAATATATAACTGGTGGTTGCAAAAGAATTTTTAAATAAAAATATGTAAACGTACTTGTTATGTATTTCTTTTTCCCTTCCCCTGTAATACATGTATGTATGTATGTATGTATGTACGTATAAACATAGATAAACTCGCGAACGAAGAAAATACGTAGAATATAAAACGTGTTGTAACAAGTTTGCAATTCCTGGAAATAGGGGTGGGGATATCCCCTCTTAGATTTCAAAAAGTATCACCATATACGTTGCAATTTATAAACATAGATATACTCGCGAACAAAGAAAATACGTAGAATATAAAACGTGTTGTAACAAGTTTGCAATTCTTGGAAATAGGGGTGGGGATATCCCTCTTAGATTTCAAAAAGTATCACCATATACGTCGCAATTTACGCGGGTGCGATCAGTCTTGTGATACCCGCTTGTACGAACGGTTCAGAAATGTATTTCGCCAAAGAGAGCAGTGCATCGTTCGAAACGAAGAAGGACTGTAACGCGTAAGTTTCAACGTTCTATAAACAAAAAAAAATTAAAAAACATTTTTTAACATTACGTACGTACTGTGACGTGACGTTTTTTTCACCGTCCGTCACAAGGGTCATTCGACCTGGCCAAAGTAGCGCGGCAAATTTGTCCTGTGTCCTCCCGACG